GAGGGCTTGTAAAATCTTGAGGGAGTGCTACAGACAGATTAAGGCAAGTAAGGGGCGTTATGGGCAGCGAGAAAGGGAGGAATAATACAGAAGGGTGAGGTTGGGTTAGGTTGGGTTGAAGGAAGAAGTGAACAGGAAAAGAAAAGAGAGGATTGAGACGTGGAAACAACTGGAGAGCAACTGGACAGGGATGTGGGAATGCAAGAGAGAAGGAGGACGATAAAGGAAAGCAGGTACAATCCAAAATATAATGAAATTGTAGTAGAGGGGCTACCAAAGTACCTGATAACGGAGGCGGTTTTATAGGTGTGGGAATGAAGAAAGGGCCAACAGGCTGTGTGGGAAGAGCTGTGAGTCTTTACACCATCTGCTGGTGGAGTGTAGTACGTTGAGAGAGAAGGTGATGGATTGGAGACAGGTGTTGGGGAAAGGGGTCGGATTGACCCCACATACGGCCAGTACGCCGTTCTAAACTCGTTTCTCACGTGTTTATTTCTCACATATTTGTAGCAGGTAACTTATTGAATAATGATAAATAAATTATTGAAAAAATTGTTAAATAAAAATGAACTATTTGTTCTGAACTGAACACTGAAATTTTACTGAACTAATCGCTTCAGAATAATGTATCCTTCAACCGTATAATGCTCTGATCCGGAAGATACGGGGCAACCTGTATACTGTAATCACACAGAGAATACTGGAATCATACACTAAATTTTGGAATGATCTACTAAATATTGAATCAGTATCAGCAGTATCAACCGTTATATTCTAGTTCTAATCGCTATGGAAACAATCTAATCTTTGCATCCAGTGAATACTGCGATCATCTATATACTGCATCTAACTTTTGGAGTTTGTAATCGTCCACGTGGTAGTAGTGGAATCATACGCTGTATACTGGAATCACAAAACTGTACAGTGGAATCGCACACTGTATGCATACTGGAGTGACCTACTAAATATTAAAATCAACGGCTATATTCTTGTTCTAATCGATATAGATACTAGGTCAAAGTTATGAATCATCCAATGAATATTGAAATTATCAACTACATCCTACAACTAATGACTATGAGTTCTAGTCTAAACAACTGGATACTGGAACCATCCAATAAATACTGGCATCATCACTAATACATCACTCAATCTAATAACTATACAGGATGATTCTCAACTTATACGCATAAACTTGGGGATTTATTCCTTATGACAAATAATGACTAACAGGGGAAAAAAATTGTAATAAAACTTTTTTAGTTTCCTACATATCCAATATAATCGGCGACATCTAGATAATGTGTTTCCTGAAAGATGGTGGTCCAATGGCTAGGCCACCTCGATCGCCCGACCTCAATCGTCTTGATTTTTATTTTGAGTTACTTCAAAAGCATAGTGTACGCCACGGAAGTTAATACTGAGCAATATTGCAAAATTGGATACATGCTGCTACCGAGGCAATCTGCCAACATCCTGGTTTAGGCCGCCCCAGTAGGAGATCGTAGATACGGGGAGCCCAATTGTGTATAGAAAATATCACAAATAACTTGAAAAACTTGCTGCGATGTTATTTTAAAATATTCTATGTATTCTTCATTTAGGGCCTAGGTGCTGTATGCGGAAGCATACCCTCTCCTTTCCTACATACACACGTTCTTCATTTGAAAGCAAATATCACGGATATCTAGGAAATAGAAAAACTTTTACTACACATTTTTTCGCCTATTAGTCATTATTCGTGTTGAGGAATAATTTCACAATTTTATGTGTATAAGTTGAGAATCACCCTGTATATGCTACATCTATCTTCGGAATACTAGAATCATCCACGGGATACTGAAATCATCTGCTGGGCAATTTAATCGTTACTTATATACTATAATCGTACAGTGAATACTGGAATCATACATTAAATTCTGTAATTGAATCATCCAGTGAATATTGAAATTATCAACTACATCCGGCAACCAATCACTATGAATCCTAGTCTAAACAACTGGATACTGGAATCATCCAATGGATACTGGGATTATCTACTAAATGCTGGAAACAACCTCTGTATACTTGATCTAATAACTATATATATTGCATCTATCTTCGGAATACTAGAAGCATCCAAGAGATACTGAAATCATCTACTGGGTAATTTAATCGTTACTTATATACTGTAATCGCATAGTGAATACTGGAATCATACATTAAATTCTGTAACTGAATCATCCAGTGAATATTAAACTTATCAACTACATCCGGCAACCAATCACTATGAATCCTAATCTAAACAACTGGATACTGGAATCATCCACTGTATACTGGGATCATCTACTAAATGCTGGAAACAACCTCTGTATACTTGATCCAATAACTATACAGGATGTCCCGAAACTCAACGTCAAGCGGACACCGGGTGAGAGGCCAACCCATACCTGTTCTGGTAAAAATAAGAAAAAATTTCTATGTCTCTTAGTTAAGTAGTAATAGACACATTTTTGAAAATGTTAAATATCGTTCCCGTACATTATATTTGTAGGTACTATGATCAGAAATGTTCGCAATTTAGCAATTATAGCAGTCACAAATCGAACAACAAAAGTCGTTAGTTTTGCAAAAAAAAGTATTAGTTTGATTGAGTTAAGGTTGAAAGAATTTATGTTTATTAAGTTTGACACACGATTTCTAAACGAAGGAGTAGTACAACATCCTTGGCAAGTTACTTTAAAAGATGGCCTGTTTAGTCAAGATTTCAAAATGATGGTATAACACTTGCCATTTTTCTTTTCCTAAAAAATATGATTGCCTGTTTTTCTGCAAAACACGCGTTATTTAAAAAATTCATACTTTCGTATGTTATTTGTATTTCCTCCAACATGATTTAACAACTTTGTTATAAGATGTGCCAATCAATATTTACAGAGAAATGTGTTTTCAACAAGATGGTTGCCCAGCTTATTATGCTTGTCCTGTATGGGATTGCATACAGAATACCCAGAAAGATGGATTGGGCGTCGTGGTTCGATTACGTGGCCTCCTCATTCGCTGGGTCTAAATCCCTTTGATTTTCTTATTAGGATTGCATAAAAGAAACAGTGTATTAAAAACCGATTGAAAATCTTGACGAACTGAGCCACAATATTTATACAGCAGCAGAAGAAATAAATGCAAAGAGATTTGCACAATAAAAAGATCTTTTCTGTGACGATGCAGAGCTTGTATTAGTGCCGAATTTAAGCATTTGCCTTAGTTTTAGGAAAATAATGCTATAAAATTAATAATAAATAAATTTGTTTGTTTAATTTTGTCTTTAGATTAACCTTATTTGAAAGAGTTTTTTTGCAAGACATAAGGGCAACCATCTTGTTGAAACCACATTTTGTAGTTCGTAGATATTGACTGGCACATCTTCTAACAAAGTTAAGAGGAAATAACAAGTAAATACAAATAACAAACAAAAGTATACATTTTTTAAATCACGTGTTTTTTGCAGAAAAACAGGCAATAATATTTTTTATGACAAGACAAATGGCAAGTGTTGTACCATTTTGGAAACTTGACTAAACAGGCCATCTTTTAAAATTACTTGCCAAGGATGTTGTACTACTCCTTTTTTTAGAAATCGTGTGTCAAACTTGTATATTCTGCTTATATCTTCGGAATACTAGAAGCATCTACGAGATACTGAAATCATCTACTGGGCAATTTAATCGTTACTTATATACTGCAATCGCACAGTGAATACTGGAATTATTAACTACATCCGGCAACCGATCACTATGAATCCTAGTCTAAACAACTGGATACTGGAATAATCCAATGGATTCTGGGGTCATCTACTAAATACTGGAAACAACCTTTGTATACTTGATCTAATAACTATATATTCTGCATCTATCTTCGGCATGCTAAAAGCATCCATGGGATACTGAAATCATCTACTAGGCAATGGAGTCATTACTTATATACTGGTATATCAGAGGCAAAAACTTGTAATATTAAAAAAATCAAAGAAAAAATCGAAGCAGTTTTAAATTTATTTATATAATCCTAAAGGAAAAGCTGATCAGCAGGTGCAACAATAAATAGAACTGATAAATATAGACAATACTACGTAAACTTCATTTCAACCAAGCTTGTTTATTCAAAGCTTTGAACCGTAAAGTTCTATACCTTTATCGGAGATGACTCCTGATTCAATTAATGCAACCATTGTAACCTTTAGAGTCTATAGTAAAGCGTTTGTTGAGATATCGGAAAAGTTTCTAATAAAATTAATATTACTCTATGGATCTTAATAACGAGATTAAAATTATTCTGTCATTTCAATATAAATTGTGCCTAAAAGTCGTTAAAAGCTAAAAGACTGAATTTGCAAATTCTAAATTAAATTCTGCTCGGAGTAAAATCGGATAAGCATTTGGCAAACTCAGCGAGCAAAGGGAAGCTTTTTTAAATTTACCGGGATAAATAGACAGTCCAAAAGGAACTTTGGTTAATTTTAATTTCCTTTTTGTTTGCGAATTATAAATTTGTTGAGGTGCCTTTTAAATTTTCCAATAATCATTTTTAACATTTATAGAGTAAAAAAAAGCTTCTTTGCACAAATAATTTTTAAATATTTGCTTTGTTACACATAAAAAACTTTTATATTTCTTAAGTTATGAAGAAAACTTTTTCGCGCAAACTTTTAATCGAGAATAACAGAAAAGTTTCTTGTTTAAAACTCAAAGCTTTAAATTGTTGAATTTGTTGCTAAAAATATTGTAACTAGAAAAGCTTTATTATATCTAGCTTTATCTATTTCCTCCAGTTTTTCATGGGAATAAAATGCCGTATATCTTTATATTATGACGCCAAGCCACCAATACATCAAGATAAAAAGTTATTGTGTCAAAAATGTGCTAGAAATAAATTTCTTTTATGGCCGAAAATAATAAAATCAAAAAGCACAAAAAGTTTAAAACCAAAGCGAAAAAAGCGAATAAGCACTTTGTTGTTATTACCATTTTTTCTTACGAAAAACGAAAAACTTTAAGCTGATTTTATAACCACCACCATCACCGTATCTTTTAATATTTTACTTTGCAAATATCTTTTTTCAGTTCACAAATTTTTTTTTTTTCTTAAATCATTTTTAGTTATTAAAGTTTCATTAAAAAAAATAGAATAACAGATAAGAAAGGAAAACAACAATGACACGGAAGTTAAATTTTCGAAAGAAACAACGTGCGGAATCGCGTTTTCAACACGTCGTGCACTCTTCGTAGAAATATTGGAACTAGCGAACGGAACTGGCGTCGTGGAGCGCGAAAGTACAATCAATACGCCACGGACCATACCAAAAGGGAGAAGAGGATTTACAGCGAAAAACGTAGTCACAGACTCTGTCCACGTTATCAAATATTTAACAACACTTAACACCAAGACACACATAAAACATCGTTTAAGAAGGAAACAATCTTATTCCTATTTGTAATTAAAGATTTAAGAAACAACACTAAATTTGTTCTTAAAATTTTAGAGTTTCAGATTAAAGACCTGCCACGTTAAGTTATTTTCCTTTGATCTTTTCGACTCAGAGTGATTTGTAGCGCGATTAAGTCTGTTTCAGTATAAACATTTTCACTTATTTTCAATTATATTGGATTTCCTGAATTCGAGTATAAAATTACTAATCAAATACATTAATAAATTGATTATCAATAATAAAATCGATAAGAATTTTTTAAAATAATAGTCAACCAATGGCATCATATTAATACCATATGGCATTATTCCCAAATAAATAAAATCAATCCCATTTTCAACTTATTACTATATGGGAAAATAAAACACGTGGAGATAATTAAAAATATATTGATCATATATTTTTTAATTATGACTATTTTTACACCCAAGTTTTAAACCCAAACCACTAAAGTATAAATCAGTCAAACTTTACGATATGTTTTAATATCCCAAACGTATACGTAATTTAATATCGTATAATAATTAAATTGTTAATTTAATTTTATATCTATACGTTTTTACAACTAGAACAATAAAATCGATTAAATTAAAAATTCTTTAGATTAAAAACGTTGATAAATTTATTATTTACGTTTTAATGGTCAATTACTTAGTAAACGGTGCGAATTAGACATCAAAAAGTTTAAATCGACAAAAAGAGGTAATTTGAATTTTTAAATTACGCGCCTTACGTGAACTTAGCCACATATTAAATTATTAAACTCCAATTAATTTTCATTAAATTTTAATCGAGAATCTATTTTCGCTATAAATTACATCCAACGGAACTCAATATCATGATATATTTATTTTAATTACTTAAAATAATAAACATACGTAACATTACCGAACGCCTCAGTCACAACATGTTGACATTTCGACATAACCTCACTTTCTAATTACTTTTGAATTTTTATTTACTTTAAAATTCACACATAAAAAGAACGTAAGTAACTATCGTTTATTTATCATGTATAAGTCGGTTTAAATTACAATATAAGTCGTTGAATCACTTTATAATCAAAAATTTATAAAAATAACCTAACTTTTTTTGTTTTATTTTAGCCCTAAAAAAATAGAAAAATGAGAGTAGTTGCTTTGATAAGTGGTGGTAAAGACAGCTGCTTTAATATGATGCAGTGTATAGCAGCCGGTCACAAAATCGTGGCTTTGGCGAATTTGGTTCCATCTGGACGCACTGAAATTGATAGTTACATGTATCAAAGTGTTGGATATGAAGCCATAGAACTAATAGCTGAATCTATGGATTTGCCTTTATTTAGAATTGAAACTAAAGGAAAATCGGAACAATTGGGGCGTATTTATGAGCCAAAAGAACATGATGAAGTTGAAGATTTATTCTCACTTTTAGAATTAATTAAGAAAGAAATTGAGTTTGATGCGGTGTCTGTTGGGGCTATTTTATCAGATTATCAAAGGATTCGTGTGGAGAATGTGTTAGTTTGTTTTAATTATTTGTCTTATTTCTTACATTAGCTCTCAAACTGCTTTAGTTGTTCACGTTTAAATCTATTTTCATTGGCTTATCTTTGGCAAAGAGACCAAAACGATTTATTAAATGATATGATAAAATGTGAAATTGATGCGATTATTATAAAGGTGGCTGCGATGGGTTTAGAACCTTCCCGACATTTAGGAAGGTCTTTGCGTTTAGTCGAACCACATCTACAAACTATTCATGAACAATATGGGGTTAACATTTGCGGTGAAGGTGGAGAATATGAAACTTTAACTATTGATTGTCCCTTGTATAAAAGTCGAATTGTTATGTAAGTTAAGAAATTTAAAAAATAAATGTTTTATTAATTATTTTTTAGAGAAGAATCAGAAATTGTTATTCACTCAAATGATCCAATAGCCCCTGTGGGTTATTTAAAATTAAATAAATTAAGATTAGAATTAAAATTACCTCCTTTGGATTTAACCCATCGCTTAGCCGGGCTTCCATTAAAAGATAGCGATGGTTATGTAACAGATTATGGTGAAGAAGCAACTGAAAATGAAGAAATTGAACCTGAAATTGATACAATTAAAGAATCTTCGACTTTAATAAAATACAACCCCGATTTTATTAATATAAACCAAAAAATTAACTCAGTAAAGTGTTCTAATGGCTGGTTATGGATCAGTGGTTGTACCGGGGAAAGTGACGATCCCAAAGAAGCGATTAAAAATGCTTTGGAAAAGTTAAAGTGTAGGTATGCAAAAGAGTTTCTTCGTTTTTATTTAAAACTGAATGAGAATGATTTTTATTTTTTGTATTTGTTGATTTTAGGTGAATTAAATAATCATTCGCAATCTTTGAAAGATGTTTGTACAATTAGTTTGTATATTTCGGATATGTCTCAATTTGCCACAATTAATTCTGTTTATGTGGAAGTTTTAAACTTTCCAAATCCGCCTACAAGAGCTTGTGTTCAAGTGCCTTTACCGAAAAACTGCCCTGTTATTATTGAAGCAATATCATGGAATGGTAAAGAATCTGGTATGATGGGTGATCAACTTCAAGAAAGGTAATAATACATTAAAAAAACGAGTTTTGTAAGACACGCCTGAAATGTACGAATTCAAGTTGAAAAACGAAAAGTTTCTTAATGAATGAGTCTTATGAAACGTGTTTTTTATGCTATTTTTTGTAATTCGCGTTTTTTTACTTTTTTTTTAATAAAAATAAAATAAATTTGCACTATGTAAGGAAATAGGTATGTAGCAGTTGGTAACACCGGAACACTTGAAAATAGAAACTTTGAATTGACAATTAGAAACTGTCAAAACACAAAATATATTCACCTGAAAAAAATGTTTACACCTCCCAAAATAAGAGAATTGCTTACATCAATGTCGTCATCATTGTGGACCTTGTACTCGATGCTAAGAACGAGTTTAAACATCTATAGAAAAAAATTGTCGCGTTAACTACTAAAAAAATTAATGACCCAATGTCACCAATTTGAACTGGTTCCATAAAATGTTACTAAAATCACATTACAGCAACCGTTTGAGTACTGTAATAGCTTTCATTATGTTATATGAGCATATAAAGTGGGCTATGATTCACTAAGGTTAAGTTTAATTAACCTGAGTGAATAATAGCTCATTATATGTGAGTAGAATACTTTACTTTGTTCACGACTATTAAAATTGATTCCATAAATTTATTTCTTAAATAAATTTTTGAATAAAGTTTAAACGTCAAATGTGACACAACTTCAATGATACCAACTGTAACCAACTTCACAACAATTTGTCAAAATTAAATATCAATTTTATAAAACTACGTTTTGTTTTACGAAACTTAATTTATGCTTAAATCATACGTAAAAAGGAATTTGTTTAGGTTTTTTTAATATCAAACCTTTAGAAACTCCTAAAAAATTGATTGAAATGATGTTTTTTGAAGTTTTAACGTTTCAAATAATTATTATTAGTCTGTCAAGTTGATTAACCGTGAATAATGATTATTATTCACTCCGTGACAAATAACTACCGTTTTGTTTTAGAAAACTCATTCACAACGTATATATTATAAGGTAGTCGTGGACAAACTTATTTTTTAAATAAATTTTTGAATAAAGTTTAAACGTCAATGTGACAAATTCAACGTTACTAACTGTAACTAACTTCACAACAAATTGTCAAAATTATACGTCAATTTTATAAAACGTCGTTTTTGTTATGAAAATTAATTAATTTATGCTTAAATCATACGAAAAAAAGAATTTGTTTAGGTTTTTTTAATGTCAAACCTTTAGAAACTCCTAAAAAATTGAATTAAATTGACATTTTTTTTAATGTTAACGTTTAAATTATAATTAATCTGTCAAGTTGATTACCCGTGAATGCCTATGAATAATGATTATTATTCACCGCTATTATTCACTCCGTGAAAAATGACTACCCTTTCGTTCATAAGTCATAAACTCATTCATAAGTCATAAGGTATATGTATATTATAAGGTAGTCGTGGACAATAATTATTATTAGTCTGTCAAGTTGATTACCCGTGAATAATGATTATTATTCACCGCTTATATTCACTCCGTGAAAAATGAGTATCCTTTTGTTTTAGAAAACTCATTCATAAGATATATATGATAAGGTAGTTGTGGACAAATTTATTTTTTAAATAAATTTTTGAATAAAGCTTAAACGTCAATGTGACAAATTCAATGTTACTAACTGTAACCAACTTCACAACAAATTGTCAAAATTTTTAATTTATGCTTAAATTATACGAAAACAAAAATTTGTTTAGGTTTTTTTAATGTCAAACCTTTAGAAACTCCTAAAAAATTGAATTAAATTGACATTTTTTTAAATTTTAACGTTTAAATTATAATTAATCTGTCAAGTTGGTTACCCGTGAATAATGATTATTATTCACCGCTATTATTCACTCCGTGACAAATGACTACCGTTTTGTTTTAGAAAACTCATTCATAAGGTATATAATTATAAGGTAGTTGTGGACAAATTTATTTTTTAAATAAATTTTTGAATAAAGTTTAAATGTCAAATGTGACAAATTCAATGTTGCTAACTGTAACCAACTTCACAACAATTTGTCAAAATTAAATATCAATTTTATAAAACGTCGTTTTGTTTTACGAAAATTAAAATAATAATTAAGTGGCTTGTAAGATATGTATACTTGCGTATCATCTGCATAAAAATGTACTTTGCTGTGCTTAAATATGTTATTCAATGGCGTTGTGTAGATTGAAAACAAAGTTGGGGAAAGCACCGAACCCTGCGCGACACCAGCACTTGAGCTGCCGCACCGTGAATCGATGGTTAGCCAACTGCACAAACTGTTGTCGACCACTCATGTAACCTTCAAAGAAAGAAATCCCTGAAGCGGCTAAACCATAGTATTAAGAATTGTTAGCAAAAGCTTATGATTTACCGTGTCAAAAGCCTTTGTGTAGTCTAACAAGACAAGAATGGTCATAACCACTATCTGTCGCACTTAATATATCATATCAGATAAGACGCTTTGGCTCGATGATGTCATAATATATTGGATAATGGATTCACAATTACACCCAAGTGATCTCATCCACCGGGCTTGAATCCAGACATTCTGCAATAAGGATAGCTTAGACTCTACAATCTCTAAGGTGATCTTCCCCTCCAGAAGCTCAATATGTTTGGCTTTTCCCCTGGGCTTATGTGTCTTGTTTCATCGTATTTATCAAGGAGAGGTAATTATGTACTTTATAATGGTTTTCCCACATGGCTCTAATTTCGGTCCACTACTGTTTATAATATTAAGATATTTTGATATTTTTAATATTGATATCTAAAATTTCGGAAAAAATTGTACTCTAAATATTTTATCTGATATGGTTCTGGTCGTTTACGAGCTTTTTGAACATGTGACAAGTAATCTGGCAGGCACATTTATAATTTTATTTCGTAGTTGCCGTTCTATGCAAGAGTACATGGAATCAGTTTCCATATTTGTGTGTGGCCACGCTCTAAATATTTCTGGACAACACGCACTTTGTGACAACAACGCACTAGACAGAATTGCATTCGCCGAAAATTGATTTGCCATCGCTGAAAAAAATTGATTGAAGATGTGGCAGCTTGAAGTTTCTGCAAAGTAGTTTCTATTTCGCTCCATAAGAATCAATATCCAGCATGGGTTTTAATATCGAAAATGGTGAAGTTGTGTAAAGCTAACTTTGTTTTATAATACAAGCTAGAGACGTTTGATTTTTTTTCTTCAAGTCCATAGTATACACTTCGTTGCTTTCACTGCTTTAATCCTGCTTCTTCTCCTCTATGGCTTCTTTTTTCTTTTCTTAACGCTTTATGTATTCTTCTTTTAAAATATTATTCGCATTTTTAGCCACACATAATTCGTCCTTCTTTCTTTGAAATAGACTCAAATTCATGTCGTTGAAATAGTGGTCAAAATAAGTGATAGAAAATGGCTCGACGTTCCTTTGATGACACCAATCTTTACTGTAGAGTTCATACAACTGTTGTTTGGACTGCCATTGTGGTTCGAGATATAATTTCTTGGATGTTGATCTGCAGTAATGCGACTCCATCTTTGGCAGGGTTTCAAAAAATAGTTTAAGGGAATCTATTCTTGTAACATCCAACGAAGTTCTGTGTTTCATCTTCTTTCTTTTCACGTTTCCAGGAACGTGCTGTCCATTCTCCTATTCCCAGTGAATTAAGAAACTAGTAACTAAAGCTATTTATCCTTCGTGAGTTCTCCTCTTCTTTTCCATCTTTGTGTCTCCAACTCAATTTCCAAAAACTGTCGAATTCTGATTTTTTATCCTCCTCAGAAAATAAATAACATTTTAAAGTAGGCTTTTTTGCTGAACCTTGATTTTTGGTAGATATTTTGCACGAACATCTCTCTTTCAGAACTCGCTGTTGCTTTGGAATGCTGTATTCCTATTTCCCATCAACAATCTTTTTTCCTTTATACGAGTCGCCTAGCTCTTTTATTCTGCTCCCTCTTCCAGTTGCCTTCTTTAACGTGTCTTCTTTTCAGTCTTTTTCTTCTCAAAGGCTCTTCGTTTTCCGCATTTTCTTCTTCACTATTCAAGTCTTCAGTAGGTCGATAATCTGGATCTTCGGCTGTTGATGTTTTAGTAGTATTTTGATCCACACTGCCTTTCACAATTTCATCCCTAGAAATATCTTCTAATGAGTTAGGCTCCGAATCTTTTTCTACGCAACTTTGAACTACAGCAGGTTGATAATCAGAAGTATACTTCACTAGCTTCTATCTCCACATCTTGTAAATTCCTTGCTGTGTTCTGTTGATTGAATTTAGAATTTATCTCTATTATACTGTGTTCTTCAACTACAGTATATTCCACATTGTTACGTAGTTGAGAATCCACGAAAATTGGGGGTTTTTGAAGAGCCACGTCATTACCATGTGTAGCCATAATATAACTAAATAGGTCTTTGATGCCTTTATCTATCAATTTGTGTGTTTTTTTCTTCATATTACGTAATCTTCTCCTCACCATTTTTTCTACATGGACACAACGCTCAAGTTACAACAGTCAAGGGGATAACTAACAAAAGTTCTACGAATTTCAAATTAATATTTTCAGGGCACATTCTCAAAACCCCAAAGTATAAAAAAATAAATAAATAATTTTCTAAACGATAATATCCTCTTAAATAACAAATTCTACACTAAATTACTTTATTTTTTTTAAGAAATATAATGCACGTCCAAAGTATTTCGCATTGGGCCCCAGCAAGTATAGGTCCTTATAGCCAAACGGTTAAAGTGGGTGACATAATTCATTTAGCGGGCCAAATTGGTTTGGTTCCGGGCAGTTTACAATTGGTTAATGGAGGAGTTAAACAACAATGTCAACTTGCTTTAAGACACGTCGGAAGGTTAATTAAAGCTGTTGATATTAATGCAACAATTAGAGATATCGTCCAGGTACTTTTTACAATTTTAAATAATAAATGCTTAGTAATTTAAATTTTTTTTAATAATAGGGAGTTTGTTATATAAGCGATTTAAAACACGTTGAAACCGTTCGTAAATTATGGGAGGAATTCACGAATAACGCAATTATGAATTATGTTGTGGTGGAAACTTTACCGAAAAATGCTTTGGTTGAATGGCACGTTTGGGGTCATTTGCATAATAATCAATTTGAATGTAAGTTAAGGTGATTTCGAATACATCGTGATTAATAAAAATTAATTATAGATGAAGAAACTGGTAAATGTATTGATGCTTGGTCAATTTTGATTTATCGTCGTTGGAATTATGAAAATAACATCTCGGCGATTGTGTGTCATGTTGATAGATCAGAAGAACCGGATGAAGATGTTACTAAAGAAATTTTTAAAGAAACTATCGAATATTTATTGCATAAACTTCAACAAGGACACGAAAGCGATAAAAACACAGTTTCTACTTTAAAAATTTTTTGTCCGGTTATGAAGAAAATGGATCTTTTTGTGGATGTCCTGGAGGATTTAAAGGATAACGTGTCGTTTTCTTATACGATTATTCCTGTTGTAGCACTGAAAGGACCAAATACTCATCTCTCTATTTGCGGTATCCGCATTTATTAATTTGTAGTCATGATGAATTTAGTTTGTTTTTATTTAGAATTGTTTGAAAAAAAATAAAGTATTTAGATTTATAATTTTAATCTTTGCGTGTAGTTGGGAAATATAAAAACGTTTTTATCATGAGAAATATTTATTTCTGCAATTCTAAAACAATGATTTACGCATAATAAAATATGTAATAAGAAAGGAAATCGAATAACTCTAACAATTAGGTAGTTTCCGTATTATTTCGCTCTGTTTTTTTTAAGTCCTCTCGTTTTAAACATTTTTTTTAAATTTTTATACACATCCGATAGACACCATAGGGTCCATTCGCAAAAAATTTTATGTACACCATGATATCTCGATATAATAATATATACAATTAGTCCTCGCTTAATAATCGTAATTATACAAATTAATTTCATAAAATTCATAAATCAGTATACAAATTAACAAATTACAACAATAAAAGTTAAGACGTTAAAAAATAAATAATTACCTCAAAAAAGAAACTTTAATTATAAATAATTAATGTTGTTAAATTATTAAATTCGAGGATATTTTTAAAGATGTCATTTTTAATTTTTGTGATGGAAAAGAATACAAAAAAATTCCACCACAATACTTTTAAACATTTAGATTTTAAATTCATGTTAAGTAAAATGAGGCATTATAAAACTGATATTACAAAAAAAAGATTGCACCTAATCTTATAATGAATACATAACTACAGCTTAAAAAATAATATAAATACTAAAGCATAAACGTTATACTATTTAGATGAGTTTAAATATTTATCTTGTTCTTTTTTTTGTTTAATAAATTTCAAAGTGATATATTACACCTAAAAATGTTTGGCAAATTTATTTTTTTAGTGGTGGTAAGAACTCAATAACAAATTATTTTTTTTATTATATCTTATAAAATAAAACACCAATAATAATAATTATTTTTATTTTAGGTGTGAGCGGTTCTTTTCACAATTTAATTCTCATAATTACTCTAAAGACAAAGATTTTTTTTAGTTCTTATATACAACAATTTGAATACTAAGTACAATGAATCGCTATTAGATAAAATGCGACCTGCCTTATTCATTATCTTTAAATTTCGATAGGTAGACGTATTTTTACGCTTAAAATTTAAAAACTTATTATTTACATACATTATTGCCGTCTCTGTTATCTCTTATAATCGTTAATTAACCATTTCCCCCTCAATTAAAAAAAAACATCCCTGGCCTTTTATTTTAATCTTTTTTATATACACACAATGAAATCTTTTCTCCACTTTTTTATCGCTTTATTTACTTTCACAAACGACTAGCACCATTTTTTTTTAATTTAAAATTTTAGTATTCACCTTAAAATCGCAAATTAAATTAATTAACGCGATTATATACTTGGATTTTAATTTTTTTTTAATAGTGTTTTTCTCAAAGAGAAATTCTATTTGTATTTATTATATTATTTCTTTTTTTCTGTACAATATCGAAGGAAGAAGTTGGATTACGAATCAGTCGGCACGATACGTACTATTTTAAACGTTACACTAAAAACTAGTTCTAACTAGATTTTACCCAAGCGGCTGGAACCCATTGTGGTTCTCGCTCTAAACTGTTTATTTCCGTTAATAGTTGATGATACGCCCTTTCCGTATCGTTATTTATTATAATCATATCGAAGAAATGTCCATATTTATCTTCCATTTCACGAGCTTTTTCAATTATATCTTTTAATTCTTCTTCCTATAATTTAAAAAAAAAATTTGATATTTTTATAAAAATAAAAACTATAATGGGAAGAATCAATAAACTTTAACGTTTTCTACAAACTTCAGCGAAAAAAGAATTAATAAACCGAATATATTGCTGAGCTTAATATAGAATGGAGATGAATCCCGAATGTTTCTAATTCTAGGTCTAGTTTTAATTGTTATTCAGCATTAGATTATTGTATATCTTTATTAAATTAAAACTAGAAGTAAAATCATTCGGGTTTCGCCGTTTAATATACACGCCTCGGTGGCACAATAAAGGTTAAATTTGATTGAAATCTCTTTAAATGATCATACTGTTAAAATTTCGAATCAATTATGATAAAAAAATAAAGGAAATTTTACATAATACGTATCGGATTGTTAACCTCGATCAAAAATCCTTTTAAATGAGCCCAAACACGACTAGTCTATATTAAAAAATGAAAAAATAAGGTCTATATATATATATATATATATATTTAAAACAAAATGGCGGAGTGTCGATTACATTTGTTTTCATTTTGACAGTTTATAAGATAAAGTACTCGAGTTTGGACTCATTTTAAAAGATTTTTTATTTTCTATAAATCAGTATTAATAAGAACAATAAGAAATAAGTTAAAAGAGAAAAGATACAAAATAATTACTAAAATGAAGTTAGGCATTTACAAAAAAGTGATCGGAAAGTAGATAGAAAGTAAAAATGATGATCTTCAAAAAGTTTATCAAGAAATATATGCAATTCGCAAAAAGTGCAATTAGCAATTTGATGCTTTTTGAGCGAGTTTCAAAGATACCAGGAAATAGTAAATCCTTGTACACAAATGTCAAAAGGTTACTTACTAATCGATTGATAACACTTTGAGTTTATTTCACAAAGGCAAAACAATGTAATAGTATCAAAGGGGAGGTTTTCCAGAAAATCAAAAAACTTGATAATAAGAAAACAGCTGGTTGGTATGAATTAAAGTTGATCTAATCGATTAAAAACATCCTTAGGATACTTAAGGAGATGAACAGAATGAAGAATATCGATTTTGATCATTTTTGAAAGTGTTTCAAAGATGCCAGAACATTAAAAAAGCTTATTGATGTGTGTCAAAATATTACCAATCGATTGAAAACACCTTAACTTTATTTGAAAATGACAAAACAAGTCAATAACATTACAGAAAAAGTTTTCCATAAAAACTAAAAACTTTAAAATAAGGAAACGGCTGATTGGCATGAGTCAAAATTGTTGCATCCAATAAAATAGTAGCCATCAGTTGGTACAACAACGAGGCACCAACCTCGTTGTTGCCTACAAACTTCAATAGCATCGGAAATAAAAAAAATACAGGATGAGTATCTGTGTGGAGTGGTAATGAGATAAAACGTAAACGAAGTAAGACAGGTAATGGAAAACCTCGAAGTGTATCTAAGGTTTTTTTTTAAATACTCATCTTCTATTAAAATTTTAAAGATTCTCCATTGTTGTATAGATACGAGTCGGAACAACAAAACTTAAAGTTTGCAAAAACGCATTTTGTGCATTTCATGAAATATCCAGAAAGAAAGTAGAAATTCTAGCTTCTCACTACAGCAGACAAAAAACCAAACAAGGCATCTTGAGTATTAAGGCTGTCTTTTACGATTTATTTTATAGATATTTTAAATGAAACTTCAAAAATTATTCTTTTGGCTACCCTAAAAGTGACACGTCTCAAACTTGTGATAGATTAGAAAATAAGATTAAAAAGTAATGAAAGGTTTGCCAAGTTTTTTGTGATGATCTAAAAATTAAGCAGACTTTGGCGAAAAATGATCTTACAGTTGACACACTTTCGTTTGATTTTCAACAGAATGCTCCACTGCCTAAAATCCCTACTGGAAATGACAACTCGGGATGTTTAATTTTTGAGTATATTCAGGCAAATTCGAAAAGCCATATTTTGGATGTATCATGAAGCTCAAGGTAAAAAGACACCAAATGAATCAAAGTTTTTTGCGTCACGTTATTACAAACATACTGAATAAAAATGTTGAATCATTTGAACTTTTCTCTTGTTTGTTATGTATATTCATTGGTCCAATCTGGCAGAATCAAAAAAATATTTTGTCGTTTTCCTGAGCCTGGCCACAGTTTTCTGCCTTGTGAGCCATCTTTGGGAGTCGACTACATGACAAAAATAGAGCGAGTATGAATTTCTCCATCATGACAGGAAATCTTCAAAAAAACGTCGAAATAATACCCGTAGAACAATCTAGGATATTGAATTTCATTGATCTAATAAGGAAAATGAGAAATTTGCTATATCAAAACTCAGAGTAATATCTTACAGCAGTGAACTAAAAGAAATCCAATGTTCAATATCTGCTATTTTGCTGATTCTTAAAGATTTTCAAATAGTCAGAAATAATGGACACATCCCTTTAGAACATAGAAATTTCAGCAGCTGCACATTCTACACCACTACCATTAAAATTCCAAAAATTAAACAATGTAATGACATTAGCAAATCTGATAATGTGACGCAAATGAATAATTGTTTAAATAAATTACTAATAAAGTAGTTTTTTTGTAAATTGGTAGTAACAACGAGATATCTCCAATACACAACTAATTGCAAAAAAGTTAGTATTGTTACGAAAAAGTTTTTTGTTCCTCCTGAAAAATTTGTTAAAATGGAGCTGACTTGTTGCTGCAAGGTCTTCAATTAAAACTAGAAACTTTCTAGGTCTAGTATTAGTATTAGTTCAATAAAAATATATAACAATTTAACACTAGAACTATACAGAAAAAATTTTTAGATAAAATTTGTTTAGAATGTGATTTAGAATCGATTATTTTAATAAAAAAAATTTGATTTTTTTGCTAGATGGCGCTTTATACCGATATATATCATCATATATAGCATTTTTTTGAGGTTATCTTAATAATTATAGTTTGAATCAAAAAAATTTTCGAATAAATCTTATTTAGAATCGAATTAATAACAAGTTTAATTAAAAAATTTTTTTCCAATAATCGATTTTATAAAACTTTAAATTTCCCTGTGAATAGTACGACGAAAATAAAAATTTAATTTTATCAAAAAAAATTTTAGATAGAATTTGTTTAGAATGTGATTTAGAATCGATTATTTTAATAAAAAAATTTGATGCGATTACTAGATTTCGATATATATCATCATATATATCATTTTTTTGAGGTTATCTTAATAATTATTGTTTGAATCAAAAAATTTTTCGAACAAATCTTATTTAGAATCGAATTAATAACAAGTTTAATTAAAAAAATTTTTTCCAATAATCGATTTTATAAAATTTTAAATTTCCCTGTGAATAGTACGGTATAAAAAAAAATTAATTTTATCAAAAATTTTTTTAGATAAAATTTGTTTATAATATGATTTAGAATCGATTATTTTAATAAAAAAATTTGATTTTTTTGCTAGATACACATAACTATTTAGAAGTCTGAAACGACGCAAGGCTAAACCTAAATGTTTCTAGATTTATTATTAGTTCTAGACCTCAAAGAATATGTGGCTATTTCCAAAGCCATTAAAAAGCAGCTTTTGCATCGACTTTTATATTAACTCACGAGTAAAGATATAAAGAATAGAAATAAAGATATTACCTTATACGTTTCGCCATTTCTTATTTTCTTCTGCCTCAGCTTTTCCAAACTTGGCGGTGCAACAAAAACGACGTAAGGTTTTAAATCGGATGTCCTCAAAATTTTTAAACTTTGAGGATGTAAATTTAGCACGCAAATTTTCCCCGAATTTACGACGGATCGAATCGCGTCCAACGAAGTTCCATAATAAGCTTTTTCGTATTCTCCGTGTTCGACGAATTTTCTTGAGAGGATGTCCGCTTCGAATTGGGCGCGGGTTATAAAATGGTAATCTTGGCCGTCAACTTCTGAGTCTTTTCTAGCTCTTGAGGTATCTAAAAGTATTTAGTAATTAATTAATAGTTAAATATAGATTTTTTTGGGACTTACGAGGAATTGCTGCTGCAAATCTTTCAGAATCCTCCATAAGTTTTTGTCTTAATTCGTGCCTTCCAATGTTGGGAGGGCCTATTAAAACAATAGGCCTCATTGTGTTTACTCTAGGGTAATATAAAGATACTTCTTCGTATGTAAGAATTTCTTCTGCTTCATATTCTAAAAAAATTAAAATAATCATAAAATAATGTTGATTAATTAAAAATTACCATCAACAGCGTTTGTGTACATGGGATATCCTCCTTCGGCGTAAGCCCCTTTTTTCTTTTTCCTTTTTGCTGTTTTTCCACACAATAACGTTGAAGATTTTCTTTGTGGTTTCATCATTCTTTCTTCGGCGGCTAATCTCATGCTTTCTCTTTGATGTTGGAATGATTGTGAAGGAACTAAACCGGCTAAAGTTTGATCTTCTTCGCCTTCCCTGTAAGCCTGCCACCAATTTGGATCTTCTTGGCTAATAATGTGGAGGACATCCCCCTTTTGGAAGCTCATCCCTAACTCTCTGCATGGTATGTACATATCTTCTTCTGGGTCGTAATCGAAATGAGCTCTAACGTGTAATAAAGATTCTCTTCCTTGATGCGCTCTGGCTTGAGCTGCTGGTACAATAACGAAAGTTAACGTTCCTTCCATTGTGGCCAAGATATCACAGACGGAATTAACACTTTTTCCTCGCATTTCGATTCCGTTAACGTCGAGGATTTCATCCCCTTCGTGGAGTAAGCCGCTTTTATCGGCAGCTCCACCTCGGACAACTCTTCCTATAACCACAGCATCGCCTTCATTTCTTACTGTAGCTCCTAAAGGTTCAGTACTTTTTTCAATTTTAATTATTTTAATGTTATCCTCTCTATAATGATCTTGTAAAGAACATTGGGGAATTGTTTCTGCTGTTGATGGTGTAGGGGTGGTCGAATCTTCCGGTAAAGTCGCTGCTATGCCATCATGAGCTACCATAAGAGCTTCAAATTCATAACCGGTTAATAACGTAGCCAATTCGACGGCATACGCGCTTTGTTTGTTGCTTATGGCATCTAAACAGTCTCTAAGTGCCGATTGAGCATTACAAGTCGGTCTTGGGGCGGTTCTTGAACGCACCGCTTGAACTTTATTGTGGATGGCTAAAGCTCGACCAAATTGAGGTGATAAAAGAAGTGATTGAACGGCGGCTACTCGTCCTTCCAAACCACCCAAACCACGTCCTGTTCCAGCTTTCTTTAATTGAGTTTGTAATCGTTGAACAGCAGCTACTAAATCGCCATAACCTTTTTAAAAGTAACGTAATTAATATTAATTAATTAAGATCTTTTTTTTAATTACCGTAGGCTGTGTGTACAATTTCTTTTTCGGAAGTTGCAGGGGTGGTCGACCTGGAAGACTCGTTGAGGTCGTCCTCCGTGAATGCGTCATTTATGGAACCCTGCGGCTTGTTTTCTAAAGCTTGGAGTTTCCGGGAGCCCCTTAACGACCGGTTGAGGAATTCATTTTGAGCCGCTATCCTCTCCTCATCCTCTCGTCGCTTTCTTAGTTGCTCCTGAAAAGATGGTAATTAAGACCTTAATATTTATTAAAGGAAAGAATATTTTAAATTGACCTAATTAGAAATTTAAGCAATTATTTTAATTAATTAAAATATTTTTAGTTTTAGGTCAACTTGTAACAAAGAAATTTTTTTTTAAAGCGGTTTTTCAAGAACATTATGTATGAGTAATAACGGTTAATTTTTTTGGTGTTGTAACACTTTTTAGAAAGAATTTTTTTGTTTTTAAATGAAATTTAATTCTTCTCTTAGAGCGGTGTAAAAATAGAAATTACATAATGGGCACGTAGCTAACATAAAATATCCAATCCTTGTATGACTAAAAAATTATTTACGCACGATTTATTCGTAGGTAAGCAACACTTGCGATGGATACATTCATCGACAGGATATCCTGTCCTGTTTTAATTCATGGGCCATGGATTAACCACACAAAGTTAATTCAGACCAAGAATAAATTGTTATCATTATGTTATCGTAAAATAAATACAGCAAAATATTATTTATCTCGTTTGTTGCAAAGATAAGCTTTGTAAATCCGATTAAAAAATTACCTGTACCGTATAAAAATTGTTATTATTTTGGTTGTTTTGGCACACCGAAGTTGAAACCATTCTTTAAAAATAATTCACTTCAATTATTTTAATTTAACATCACACTTATACACTTTTTTTTTTACACAACTTTACAAATTTTAAATTCACCTCCGAGTATTGTTTTTGTTGCTCGTGGTGTCTGCGTTATGACACCATCAAGGAGAAAAAAGTTCCCCATAAAAAAAAAACAAATTAAAATGCGCGCATGATAAAGATCGAAAAAACGCTCATTATCGTCGCAAAAAGGATGACGATATGAGTACGTGTAATATTCTAGGTGTACTCCCACCTGTCCGTTGTACAAAACCCACCGTCGAGGTGGGCACCGCGAGAATCACAACAAAGGGGGGGCCTCCGAATACAAACAGAAACAACACCGACTATTGTGATGTATTGAAAGAGAAATTTTCGTTTTCGCGGCGAGCGTGTGACAAAAATTTTCAATTAACGTTTTCTTTTTTTATGAAATCAAAAATGATCTGTATTGTTAAAAATTGCTATCCAATTTTTACTTAGTAATTATTTAATCATTAATGTTTATTACATTTCTATGGTGTTATGAAATGATCTTATTGCATTCTAAAACAATACTTATGAAAGTCTATTTATGTAATTAATTTGAAATAGCCAAATCAAATACATCGTAGTTATTGTTACTGGGGGGTTAAATTCGACCACTTTCATAAAGCTGGTCAAGCATTGAAGTGGTTAAAAACCTACGGAGACAGACATTGAATTGAAGTGGCTCAAGGGTGGTCCATTCAAAATAACGTGGCGCCAATGTTAAGTTTAACTTCCGAGTGGTAGTCTCTTTCTTGGTATTTACCACCCCCATTGAAATAGGATATAATACAAATTACGAGAAAAATGCACCACTACCAAGGATTTGCTGTAACATTTCAATAATTTGTACGACATAACGTAACCTTTACGACAATACGATGGATAATTACCGCCTAAACCAATTTTGTCATCGTATCAACATTTAGACATTGATACGTTGGCAAAATTGATAACAAATAACATGAAGAAAGACAGAAATTGATGCAATCATTCCAACATTAAGAATTTGCAACTCAAGATGGTATAGCAACTATCAACCGCAGAAACAATTCCCCACTGTTCTTTACAATATCATTAAGTATAGGGTTAAGCGGGGTGATTGTGACACGTTTTAGCAAAGTTTATGTTTCGGTGCTAGTAACATCCGGATTTTTCAATATTTTCAATTCAAATTTTTACCACATAGTCTTCATACATTATATTACTAAGTACCATAAGCATCTTTATCATTTTCTGATTATATCAATGTAGAACAATAGAAAAAAAATATTGTATCTCTAATTTTTCTGTCAAAAATCTATCTCTCAAAAATATCTACGGGTTTAGAAAATTGAAGTTGCAACCTCATCCCTTGTTGGATAATATTGGGGTCTGGTAAAACACCCAGTCTAACGTTATACATTCTATTTTCCCCTAATTTCGTAAATAAATTAATTACATTAACAACATTCCACCTCCTAAAATTCCTATCTTGCCTGCGACTCTATAAAAGCTAACCAATCACTCGAATGTGTAGGTAACCACCCCATACTTTGACATTTATACAAAGCCAAACCAATATTTATTAAACTCCCTAAAAAATACACACATTTTTAGCTGATAGCGTTGGAATTTTCAACCATCTTAAAGGTGCTGTTCCAACCAATGTGCAAAAACAACATTCCAACCATCATTATTGGAAATATCGAATTTCCCGCCATGTACATAATAAATAAATTCATTGGGACTTGCTTCAACGGAGCTAAAGCCAACTCCCAAGATTTCTTTTCGATTAAATGACTCGTATCAGTTGTCTTCGTTACTTCACTATGACTTAAAGCCCCCGATGTACTATAAGCTGGAAGTGATGCTAACGTTGATAAATCAGTTGTTATTAACAATTTATTTGATCTTGTGACTCCATTTAAATCGTTTATTCAGTTTTTGCAGACATTATTAGGTAATTAGTTTGCCTAAGCAGACAGTACCTAACTAGGAAAAAGCTATCTACCAGAAATAACCATTGGCCTGCAACATATACAGGGTGTCCCGTTAAGCGTACGAAGCGGCTGTATCTCAATAACGGTAAGGCCTAGAGGTTTGGGAAAAAAATCCTTATAAGCAAAGTGGGCAAGAGAAGTAGCTGGAAATTATTTTGAAGTTCGTAATTCGACCGCTAGGGGGCGTAACTGCCATAGAGAAACATAAAATTCCCGCTATCTCAGAAAGTTAGACGATGAGCTATAACTTTGACAACATCATTTAGTAGCTTGGATAATACCGCATCGCTTTTGTTTTGCGATATTTCTCATATCTGTCATAATAAGGGAGGGGGAGGCCAATGCGTTTTCATATGTTTACATTTTAATATCTCCTAGACCATTCAACCGATTTGAATGTTTTCGGTGTTGTTTGAAAGAGCATTTTATGCTCTNGAGCATTAATCACTGATAGTGATACCGCCAAATCTGACGGCATTGATAGCACAGTATCAGTGCTTATAATGTCTTCCGCAGCCCATTGGTAGGACATGTCGGAACAGTTTTGAGCATATTGCTTAAATCTGTAAATGGTTGTTCTAGCCACTTTCTCTATATGCAAATGCAGAGGAGATAGGCCAAGCAGAACCTCCATTGCTAGAGTTGGCGTTGTGCCTATCGCACCAGAGATTGCCAATCCAGCTACTCGTTGAATTCGTGAAAGTTTACTGATAACTGAAGTCTGTCGGACTTTCCTATACCAGGCTGCTGCTCCGTATGTGATCATAGGTCTAACCACAGTCACATAGAGCCAGTACAGTCTTTCAGGGGTAAGACCCCAATTTTTTCCACAAAGACTGCGACAACTCCACAAGGATAGTCTAGCTTTGTGTAAAACTCCCTGCAAATGTCCATTCCATGAATTATATTACTAAGTAGCATAAGCATCTTTATCATTTTCTGATTATGTCAATGTTTTACTAAACTAAATGTAAAGTGTCATATTTACCCCATACGTAGAGGTGAATGTGACATCTTTCCAGGGTGATTGTGCCATTAACTAAAAAGTCTACTTGAGTGAAGTATTTTATTATTCAGAGTGTTTGTGACAATTTTGTACATAAAAGAACAATTTTTTCATTAGTAGGCACTTTATTCATACTTTATTCACAATAGAAAAATAAAAACTTAAAAAAAAAATATTGTATCTCTAATTTTTCTGTCAAAAATCTATCTCACAAAAATATCTACAGGTTTAGAAAATTGAAGTCGCAACCTCATCCCTTGTTGGATAATATTGGGGTCTGGTAAAACACCCAGTCTAACGTTATACATTCTATTTTCCCCTAATTTCGTAAATAAATTAATTACATTAACAACATTCCACCTCCTAAATATTCCTGTCTTGCCTGCGACTCTATAAAAGCTAACCAATCACTCGAATGTGGAGGTATCAACCCCATACTTTGACATTTATACAAAGCCAAACCAATATTTATTAAACTCCCTAAAAAATACACACATTTTTGGCCGATTGCATTGGAATTTTCAACCATCTTAAAGGTGCTGTTCCAACCAATGTGCAAAAACAACATGATGGTTGGACATCATTATTGGAAATATCGAAATCGAATTTCCCGCCATGTACATAATAAATAAATTCATTGGGACTTGCTTCAACGGAGCTAAAGCCTTGTGACTCCATTTAAATCGTTTATTCAGTTTTTGCAGACATTATTAGGTAATTAGTTTGCCTAAGCAGACAGTACCTGACTAGGAAAAAGCTATCTACCTGAAATAACCATTGGCCTGCAACATATATACCATGTAGAGAGTTAAGGATGAGCTTCCAGAAGGGAGATGTCCTTCTGGATGCTGAAGGAGGATATCTATATATTTAGTAGATCATGGATTAAAGTATCAACGAAAACGTGATTCAGTTGGTCGTGGTAAGTCGACTCCTCATGCTCCTCGTGGTGAGGTGATTTCGATATTTGGTGCTATATTTGGTGTTATTTTGCAATATTTATCCAAAGGCAATTTTTTCAGAAGTTTGGAGTTCTTCAAATCCTGACAATATGAACTCCTCATGCTTTTGAAATAATGTCTTTTGGTCAAAATCCACAAATATTGAGCGCGTTAGAAATTCTTTCAGCTGTTGCCATTCTTAAATGTTGGTTTATGTAGTCTTTGACAGTTACATCATACAATACTGGTACTACCCACGNCGGCAACTTTATGTTTCTCAATGGCAGTTACGCCCCCTAGCGGTTGAATTACGAACTTCAAAATAATTTCCAGCTATTTCTCTTGGTCACTTTGCTTATAAAGATTTTTTCCCAAACCTCTAGGCCTTACCGTTCTAAAGATACCGCCGCTCCGTACGCTTAACGGGACACCTGTATACCATGTAGAGAGTTAAGGATGAGCTTCCAGAAGGGAGATGTCCTCCATATTATTAGCCAAGAAGATTCAAATTGGTGGCAGGCTTACAAGGAAGGCGAAGAAGATTAAATTTTAGCCGGTTTAGTTCCTTCACAATCATTCCAACATCAAAAGGAAAGTATGAGATTAGCCGCCGAAGAAAGAATGATGAAACCATAAAAAAAATCTTCAATGTTATTGTGTGGAAAAACAGGAAAAAGAAAAAAGGGGCTTATGCTGAAGGAGGATATCTATATATTTAGTAGATCATGGATTAAAGTATCAACGAAAACGTGATTCAGTTGGTGATTCCTCGTGCTGAGGTGATTTCGATATTTGGTGCTATCTTAGCACAAAGAATGAATCAGTTGCCAAAATCGAAAGAAAAACAATGATACAAGCAGTATTTAGCCAAAGGCGACTTTTTCAGAAGTTTGGAGTTCTTCAAATCCTGACAATATGAACTCCTCATGATTTTGAAATAATGTCTTTTGGTCAAAATCCACAAATATTGAGCGCGTTAGAAATTCTTTCAGCTGTTGCCATTCTTAAATGTTGGTTTATGTAGTCTTTGACAGTTACATCATACAATACTGGTACTACACACGACACTTTGTTCACGCGTAGCGTATTTCATAAAATCGTGCCTCATGTTAGCGTAGCACGTTCCGCGACTTTATACAGAAGCTAATGAGGATTACAGAAAGAACGTAACGAGGCAAAAAGATAAGATACATAAGAACTTTGTTAGCATAAATCTTAGGAATTTCAGTTTGCAATAAGCAATAAATTTCAGCTTTTTATGATGAAATAGTACTGGAAAAGAAAAGCAGCACTTACAAATGCTACAAATTGCCTCACAAAAGATGAGTTCCCCAACTCTTTTCTCCACCTTAAAAACAAGAAGATGAAACCCACACTTCTGAATTGAAAGAGACTGATTGACTCCTTGCTTTGGGACTATTGCGTGAAAGAAGAAGTGCAAACTAAAAAAAATATTGAAAAAATATTTGTAGAGCTAAAAAGTACAACGAGCTGACGACATTCTAAATGAGTTGTTAGAACAATTAATAGAAAAAATAAGTCCGATAAAGTGTGAGAATCTACGAGAGGAAGATTTCACCACATTTTTAACTCATAGAAGATGCTGCTTGAAAAACGAAAAGCAATGGAGAAGATCCGAAAGAAATGTTTGGGTTTTGACCAGGATTTGAAAGACAAAAAAGAATTCTCTGCTCCATGTCTTATCCGATTAAAACAGACTTCTGCAGCACTCCTTTATTGGAGATCTGGTTTGGATAGATACATAACACATACATATTATCTCTTCATTTGTTCTTGATAAGGTTTTTTAAGAAATATTGTGACCTTTTTAAAAAGTTCAGCAAAAAATTAAACGTTGAACTAAAAATATCAAATCTTTTGGGACATATTGGAAATAAGTTTTCACGATATAAATATGCATTTCGTCAATTTTAGACATATTTGAAATCCAGGTAGTTTTAGACAAATACATCCAAATCATATAGATATTGTCCAACAATTTCTGACATATTTCAAACAATCTAAGAGATCCTAAACTAATATTATCCGTTTAATCAATGCAATATTTCCATCTCTAGACTTAAATTCATGTACTTTGCTCAAAATAATAGAGATCGTGCATTTTATATTGATTTTAAGCTATTTTTTTGTTGCCGAATGGTTTTTTGTATTAAAATCAAAATTCATAGTAAAATTTGTCAAAACTTCCTGTCTGTTGCAACTGTGCTGATGGAACACAATCCATCGATCAAAATAAACATCGTAGTTGCGACGTTGTCGAAAATTTATAGCCGATACCGAGTAAATTGAAATGAATGTCGTTACTAATTGCGTTCGACTGGGAAATTGGTTTATGACCGTCAACGTTTTCACGTGGCCTCTTCGTAAATTTTCCTAACGCAACAATCAAAACCTACCTAACGAACGACGAATGAAACGAAACGCCTTCGGTGCTGTAATAATAATTGTTACGCAAACGTGTTTATTTGAAGGCCGATTGGTAAATCTCTGCGTACCGTCTTCGAATATCAATAAAGAAAACCTTGAAATACCTTTTATTTTCAAATTGATATCATAAGGAATCATTTTTTCTTATTGGCATTTTAAAGATCGAAAAATTAAAAATTTTTGATATTTGTATGTTGTTTACGATTCAATATATAGCACAAGGTTTCTTTTTAATGACACTATAAATAATAACTTTAAAAATAAAAAAATAAGTTTTAATTGTCGCTAAGTATGCAACCCATTATGCATTGCGCTAAAATCTCCATATAACGGACTAATACGGTGGAGGGGGTGGCCGTTATATCCGAACTTTTACTGTATTATATAATTGGTTGCCTATTTTTCAAATTTATTTTAAAGCATAAAAAAAACTTATTCAAGTAGAAAATAATCCCTTTCAAAACTCAACCCACAAAAGCCGCTAAAACTTCAAAAGTCTATGTACACATGACATACGCACACATAAAGCGCATTCACTGCAAGTTATCCCAACAATTCGCAGTACAGTGCAGATACGGTCTAATAATAGGGTCCCTTTTGAAAAGGGGAACGCGATTTAACACCAGGAACCCTTGACAAACATCAATGTCGGGTTCTCACAAAAGGGGAGCGTTTCCCATTTCTCCCTTACATACCTGATATTTCCTGATATTGTCCAGTTGTTCCCTGGTTGGTTGTTCCCCGGTTGTCATCAATGTCGGCGTACTCGTGGTAATGTTGTTGTTATTATTGATTCGGGCGGGTAAAACGGGGGGTACAGGAACTCCCCTATTCACCAAACGTCCATCTTTTTCGATTTTTAAATGTTCTCTAGGAGGTGGAATTGGTTTTGTTGTTGAATTTGGAAGAACAACTGGAGGTGAAGGTGATAAATGCGTTGCTGAGCCATTTAATCCACTCTAAAAGAAAAAACAATTCAAATTTGTGATTAGAATCCTTTTCAACATAAAATAATTAAAACTCAATTAAAATTTGTTTAAAATTGCGTTTTAATTATCAGTTGTTAAATAAAAATATCGTAATAGATAATACCAGGTGATTTATAAAATTCTTTGAAATTGTGGGAACTCCTATAGGTAAGGATTTTTGTATAATACAAAGGAACTAAAATGATTCATTTTGGGTCATCAAAGAGAAACGTACAGGTACGTTTTTAGAAGTATAAAGGGAACAGGTAAAAGTTTCTGGGAATTTGAAATTTATATTTTTATTTCTAAAGGAGGGATGCTAAGTGAATAACTCTGCTTTAGAAGCTTCCTCCATGATTTCACTACCTGTTTTCTTAATAAACCGTTTTAGAAAGAAGGTGCTCACAAGAAATATTCTTTTATCATTATAGAGTGTATCTAGTTTCGATGTATCTTGATGCGTGTGGTAAAACGGTCTAAATATATAAAGTTATTTATACAGCAAGGACGAGAAGTCTACCTTTAACTTATAATTAGGTATACTGCATTCTTCTTCTTTAATTTCTGCTGTTATTAAAATGATTAAATGAAATAATTGGGTTAAGTAAAATGGTAGAAAATTGACAAAATTACTTTAATTTCATTTATCATTTATAATAAATCATTAATAGGACAAGCTCATATATTAACTTGGTGTGGAGAGTAAGTATGGGTTTAGATATAGGATAGCAAAAATGGTAACCGGAATTCGGAACTAAAACCTATTCGGAACTACCTAATACCAGGCTTCTTGTATGAGTTTGGAATGTATGTAGTATATACTTCTCCTTGGAGCTTTAAATATGTAATCAGCTTATTGTGACGGATTTAATATTTTAAGAAAAGTATGCCTTGAGGCTGTCTTGATGCTTGAATCTGTGATCTATAAACCGAGGAATCCGAGATCTGGAATATGGAATCTGTAAACTGCCCACTGGAATGTAAATGCAAAGATTTACATAGAAACTTTAAAACGGATTTTCACCTCTGATATCTATGCAATGTGATCTTGGAGACTTTAATCTATTCGGCAACTATCAGGCACCTTTAGAGATTAGTTTTTGAAGTTTTGATAAAATTTTCGATGTTGCAATTTTCATCGATAACTTTCAAAATTCGCTATAAAATTCATTTCTTGAAGGATCCTTGTGGAAATATCACCAATTATTAATTAAAGTATCCTCTTTTTAATGCAAAAAGCCGTTTTGAAAAATCACTTTTAGTTCTTGAGAAATAAATTTTTGAAATAGTCGACAATTTTTTCGAATTTTGCAATTTTCGCCGATTAAATTTTAATAATTCGTATAAAATCGATTTCGTGAAATATGAGTTTGAAATTTTCCCAAAGTGTTAATAAAAGTGTGCTCTTTCCAATGAACCAACACGTTTTGAAAAATAACTTTCAGTTTTTGAGAAAACAATATTCGAAATTTTCGATGTTGCAATTTTCATCGATAACTTTCAAAATTCGTTGCTTCGTTAGTTAAATCAGCATCAAGAAAGTTCATTTTGTATCTTGAATCCAAATAAGTTGACATATCTTATCAGCTTTCTTATTAATTTTATTTTAATTCAAATATCGCAATAAAGTGGCAATGTAGGATATCACTTCAGAAATGCACCAGAAATTATAACCATAATGGCCGTATAGATATGCCGGATAACCGGATATCCGTTATTTTTTCGCAAAATCACTATCCAGATCTTATCTTAAACTCTAAAATCTGTAACCTTCAAATTCTAGTCTTGCCACCTGCTACACCATCTTCGTCTTCTGGGCAAGAAAGAAAAACTATAAATCAAATCTTGTCAATTTTTGCAAGAACTTGAAAACCCTAGTTTTAACCTAGATGTAGGATGAAACCATTATCCATTATGCACCCCCTCAAAATCAGTAATCAACAATAACTGATGTATGTAATGATGGGTAACCTGCGCCATAAACAGGACAACATCACCTGATATTGTCTCGCTTCATCATCACTATGACACGATTCAAATAGTATTTCGCTGATCCAAGAACATTAGCTTTTGAAGATCTCCCTCGAATGCAGGATACGATAAGGACTTCAAAATAAGGAAATTGGGTGCGCAACCCAAGATTGTTTTGTAATAACACATTTTAAAGGCTACTCTCACCCTGCTTAGTTAATACATGGGCTTGATACATTTAAATTCTCATAGTGAAAATATTTAAAGCATTTTTAATGTTAACGAAGTTTTGGTTAAATAGTTGGATTATTGGTTAGTGTATAAAAAAATATACATAGAAAAACAACAACTCTACAAAAAACATACACTTATAAACTCATTATTTGTTAGTAAAAATGTTTCTTCAAAACCATTTTTTGTTAATCACAAAAAGAACTACTCGGAAAAGAATGTCCAAAACTAATCCATGTTTTTTCCACCATTTTTGTTTACCTTTACTGAATTTCTGGTCGGATATTTTGGCGGTGTCTTTTTTCTTTCAACAAAATGATCTGGTACATCTATGGCACGTTCTTGATCGTCCTCGCGAAACGTTACGCCTAACAGTCGATCGTATCCCACCTAATTTTAATTATTTCAAAATTATAATAAAACTAAAAATTTTATTTTAAAGTATTATTCAAATTTGTAATCAATGTCAACGACTTTGTGGGTGTTAAAAAAAGACCCAACCCACGTGAATAAATACACAAATACCCCACAAGACATAGTATCATATGTATTATCTCCAGACGCATAGTCATACCCGATCATACAATGGCTAGGTGTGTTCCTAGCTTATGAATATATTTGTACATATCAACCAGACGTAAATCTTCTATAATCTCATTGTGTTCTTTCGTCTCGGTCTCGTTTTATTTTTTTTTTTCAATGTATCTCTTTGTGAAACAACCACAATGGAATTTTTTTGAAATTTATGATTTTTTTATTTTTATAAGTAATTTACCTGGATAATTGGTTTCGGCGGTGGATACCGAGGTGGAGTTTTATTTCTTGCAATAAAAGTATCGGGAACGTCGACGGCCATCTCGCGATGAGGTCCGTTGTCATCGGCGAGCATCATAACCATGTTGTAGTCCAGGTTATCGTCGAGATCATCTGGAGGCTTTTTAACCGGCTCCAGGTCGCCGTCGAGCACGACGATGCTGCTGCCGGACCGACGACGTGGCCTGCAAGTTCAAACAAAGAAAATAAAAATTTAGAACTTACAAAGTAGAAATGCAAAAGATTAATCCATCACGTTGAAAGGACTGGTTTTTGCGATAAACATCATAGAAACTAGAATTGTTTGGGCATTTTGCTCCTTTCTCACACTGGTTTCTTATCTTTACATCATGAAAAATTAAAAATTATGTTATGTGTCTTGTTTTACAAACTAGTTTTATCACCTATGCAAAGTTTGCTTACAATTTTGCTAGCTTTGATAACATTTTACATGTACAGTATTTTCTCTCAGCCGATTTTGACGAATTATATATCATTTAAATACTAAAACGAAAGTGGAAATGCCCGATTCAAAATCTATTTCGAAATCCTGCTCTACCAACGACAAAATGTAAAAATACGGTTTTATCTAATTTTTATGCATTTTTCTTGATATTTATGCATCTGAGAGCAAAAGTGTAAAAGAGTAATATTATTAAGAATAAAGTTTGCTACAACTTTTATATTAAAACTTTTTTTCTAAATCATTCCGAATTCTGTGCTCTACTACCAACAACAAGATGTAAAACCACGATTTTATCTAATTTTTACTTTTTCGGACTTTTCTCGATATTTATGCATTTGAGAGTAAAAGTATAAAAGATCAATATTGTTAAGAATAAAGTTTGCTACAACTTTTACACTAAAACTTTTTTTCTAAAACGTTCCGAATTCCGTGCTCTCTCAACAACAAGATGTAAAACAACAATTTCATCTAATTTTCACATTTTCGAACTTTTCTCGATATTTATGCATCTAAGCGAAAAGGTGTAAAAGAGCAATATTATTAAGAATAAAGTTTGTTACAACTTTTATACTAAAACTTTTTTTCTAAAACGTTCCGAATCCCGTGCTCTACCAACAACAAGATGTAAAACAACGATTTGATCTAATTTTCACTTTTTCGAACTTTTCTCGATATTTATGCATCTAAGCTAAAAAGTGTAAAAGAGCAATATTGTTAAGGATAAAGTTTGCTACAACTTTTGTTCTAAAAGTTTTTTGATGACATGCTCCGATTCCCGAGTGTTATCATTAATAATTTGAAAAGCAACAAATTTATTAAATTTTAAAATTTTCTTATTTATCTCGATATCGACGCATCTAAGAACAAAAGTGCAAGAGAGCAATATTGTTAAGAACAATATTTACTACAACTTTTGTTCTAAAAATATTCTTATGACGTGCTCCGATTCCCGAGCGTTACCACTACTTGAAAAAGCAAGAAATTTACCAAATTTTCATATTTTCGTATTTTTCTCGATATTGACGCATCTAAGAACAAAAATGCAAGAGGACAATATTGTTAAGAATAAAATTTGCTACAACTTTTGTTCTAAAAGTTTATTTGTAATATGCACCGATTCCCTAGTGTTATCATTAATAACATGAAGAAGCAACAAATTCATCAAATTGTCAAATTTGCGTATTTTTCTCGATATTGACGCATCTAAGAACAAAAATACAAGAGGGCAACATTGTTAAGAATAAAATTTGTTACAACTTATGTTCTAAAAATACTTTTATGACATGCTCCGACTCCCGACTGTTATCATTAATCTTGAAAAGCAACAAATTTGCAAAATTTTAAAATTTTCTTATTTTTCTCGATATTGACGCATCTAAGAACAAAAGTGTAAGAGAGCAATATTGTTAAGAACAATATTTGCTACAACTTTTGTTCTAAAAATATTCTTATGACATGCTTCGATTCCCGAGTGTTACCACTACTTGAAAAAGCAACAATTTCATCAAATTTACATATTTTCGTATTTTTCTCGATATTGACGCATCTAAGAACAAAAATACAAGAGGACAATATTGTTAAGAATAAAATTTGTTACAACTTATGTTCTAAAAATACTTTTATGACATGCTCGTATTCCCGACTGTTATCATTAATCTTGAAAAACAACAAATTTGCAAAATTTTAAAATTTTCTTATTTTTCTCGATATTGACGCATCTAAGAACAAAAGTGCAAGAGAGCAATATTGTTAAGAACAATATTTGCTACAACTTTTGTTCTAAAAATATTCTTATGACATGCTTCGATTCCCGTGTATTACCACTACTTGAAAAAGCAACAAATTCATCAAATTTTCATATTTTTGTATTTTTCTCTATATTGACGCATCTAAGAACAAAAATGCAAGAGTGCAATATTGTTAAGAATAAAATTTGCTACAACTTTTGTTCTAAAAGTTTCTTTATGACATGTTCCGATTCCGTAATGTTATCATTAATAACATGAAAAAGCAACAAATTCATCAAATTTTCATATTTTTCTCGATATTGACGCATCTAAGAACAAAAATGCAAGAGGGCAATATTGTTAACAATAAAATTAGCTACAACTTTTATATTAAAACTTTTTTTCTAAAGCGTTCCGAATCCCGTGCTTAGATTAATTTTGGAAGTCCATACCTTTAGAAACAACGAGCAAAACACGGTGTCATTCTAAAGGCTGTTCAAGATTAATGGGAAAAAATTGAGATCAGGTGTTTTGTGATTTCGATAGAAGAAACTGTGACGAATCAAATGACGTATAAGTCTTAATAATCGAGTACTTAGTTTACGAGTTATGACCATCTATAAAGATCATTTTTATGTTATTTTCGTGTACTTTGCCAATGTGTGTATTTTGGCGTGTTAGCGAAATTCGAATTAGATTTCTGCACTTTCGTATTGGCCAAGGATTAAGCTTTCGAATGAGATATATCTCGTCAAAATCGGTTGGCAGCTTCTTTTATTACAATCAAAATACTACACATGTAAAATCGTGAGGAAATCTAATTTATAATGGATCGATTTTTTTTGTTATTGCAATCAATGGAAAAGAATGCGTAAATTATTTCATTTTGCGATAATGAACTGCGCGAAATCCGAATTTTTAATTAGAAATTGTTACAATATTCAATCGGAAAGCGCGATAACACAAAAATTTCTTAATCTTTTATCAATATTACTTATTGTTTAGTCACTTTGATTTCCGAGTATTTTAACATTTCGGTTCTAATTAGGTAATAATATATTTTTTTGTGAGTAATGGATTCGAAGAATTTTATTTATAATTTCTTTTCTTTAGAAACACTCGTGGTAACATTGAATTAATTATTTCTCAAACTCGACGTACAAAAAAGTGTTAAAATTACAGAGATAATCGACTCAATAACAAAGCTATTTACTAAAAGACGTTCGAGGTAAATTAAAATTCTAAATAAACGATCCCGTTCACCGCAAACTATCAGTTTAATAACAGTAATTCGTGTAACATTTCCAATCTCGTTGCTGTATGATTTTTGAATTTAAACGATTCCAATTATAAGTAAAACGTTATCCACTCACTTTTTGGCACGATTCTTCTTATTCAACTTCATAATCACAATAGCGTTATTTATTTATTTATAAAAACCGAATGTAACTCGCTTCATGGTTACCGCAAAACTGATTCTTTTAAAAAAATAATTTAATAGGTTTAGTAATTTGCGTGTTTGTAACCATACAAATTAATGTAGTGGGATTCATTCTACTCATTTCCGGTGTTGACGAAGTTGACGAAGTGGAAACGCGGTTTAAACCTAAACTGAATTAAACCCGATTCTGTGCCGGGAATAGTGACGTCAATATGGAGTACAATTGATTAAGTCCGAAATTGGAACTACAATGTTAAAATTGGGTTAATTTAAATCAATTTATTCCATAACTTGTATGTTATTTTGTGTTTTAAGTTGATCCGAGAAACGTGATTCACACATATTCCTTCGAAGAGGGAGAATGGAATAACCGATAGTTATTACAATGGAATTCGCATTTTAAAAGCGAAAGTAGGTGGGGTTCTTACTCTTTGGTTCATTAAGTTTCGAAATCTTTTGGGTTGAATATGTGTAATCTTAAGAAATGATTACAAAAGATCGAATTGGAATTTGCTTAATTAATTTTTCTTCTTCAACGCCAAATTAAAATTAAATTATAAATAAAACGAGGAATTTCTCTTTAAGATAAATTAGAACTTTCACGTCCTCAATCCATATCCGCGTTAATGGACATTCTTCTTCTAAACAAAGTGCATTTTCATTGTATTTCTTTAAAGAAAGCGCATTTTTGTTTCGAACCATGTAGAGATTCTACATACAACAGAAAAAAGAAGAAAAAGTAGAGAAACTTTTCCCCCCTTTTTAATTTTAATTATACATTTGAATGAAAAACGTGACCGGAAGTGGAACGGAGGTGGTTGTAGCGTAAATGAAGATCCCCCTCGAAGTCAGTCAACTGGAAAAAAAGAAACAGGTAACGTTTTCACCTGTTTCGGTTTATTTTTGTGTTTAAAAGGTTTACGTTTTGTTATCTTGTTTTATTTATTTAGGCCAACTTTTAAAACCAAGTGTTTATGATAACAGAATAGAAATGAATCATGGGTAATAGAGTTAAGAAAAACTTAATGTGTTTTAAGAACCCACTTAAAACAATTTTGAGTTGTGGAATTTTTATGGCCGCATTCTAATCGCTAAAGAAAATAACCGTTATAAATAATTAAATAATTAAAAACAGCTTAATATTATCCCACGAGAATCAAAATTAACAAAACCACGGTTTCATCCAATTTTCACTTTTTCGAATTTTTCTCGATATTTATTCATCATAGAGCAAAAGTGTAAAAGATCAATATTGTTAAGAATAAAATTTGCTACAACTTTTGTTCTAAAAGTTTTTTTATGACAAGCTCCGATTCTCAAGTGATAAAACCATTAATAACTTGAAAAAGCAACAAATTCCTCAAATTTTCAAATTTCGTATTTTTTTCGATATTGACGCATCTAACAACAAAAATGCAAGAGAGCAATATTGTTAACAATAAAATTTGCTTCAGCTTTTGTTCTAAAAGGTTTTTGATGATATGCTCCAATTCCCGAGTGTTACCACTACTTGAAAAAGCAACAAATTCATCAAATATTCATATTTTCGTA